GCCTAGTGAAAGGGTCTATCATCCAAGGCACTTGGAACGTCTCAATAAAAAAAAAGGTAAATAAACACGAAATGTACCAAACGTCTTTAATGTTTTCTCTACTGTATTTCGCCTGTGATCACCTGTAAATGCCGGTCAAATGCTCATCTGCCAACACACAAGTACACCCAACGCCGCGCCGCGCGTGTGCTGTGTGCACAACCAACTGAATAAGAGAGGTGCACACATCACATGACCCTAGAACGGTTGACTGAAAACAGTGTTTACTATTCTCCCTATAGACATCAATCTAGAGCCGCCAAACATGCACGACGCTCTGTCTAGCTAGATCTATGACTAAAACAACTAGTAGTCTAGACGAAACGCCGGCCATGATCCCGAGGCTCGCCGAGGATTGCACATTGTGTCTTCCAATCACAGTCCACGCCGCCCCTTTATGATCAAAATTTGTGAGTACAATATTTCATGTCGACCGGAATCGCCGATCTCAGGAACTAGGGCATTCTGCTAGGCTAGAACGGTTTCATACGAATAGAGCTTTGGCACAAATACAAATATAACACGCTGTTTTGCGCACAGTGCTAAGTTCTTTTCTTTGTCTTTTCGCATATCTGTAGGCACGATAAGCCCGCCTTATTTGTTGATTGGCCATGAATGGGGCGTCAACGAGGCGTGAGAGCTGACTCCTGTACCTACTGCAAGCCCGTTGATTTTCGTAAATAATGAAATGCCCGGCCGATGCATTTCGCATCAAAGAGAAGAAAATTCTGCATTTTCACTCGCTATCGCCAACTCAACGAGCGCGTCATTCAGTAAACATTTGTGTTATTCATATTTCACTCTTGTTCTATAGTATGATTTCCACAATTTTGCTCTTTTGCCCATAATAATTGATACGAATCACGCTATGTGATTAAGTTGTCACGGACAAAGCTGTCATGATAAATGGCTTCGTCAGTAGGTCATTCGACAACGCAGCAGGTGTGCGTATACGGTTCTTTGTGCTGGCACTTGCTAGCAGCGCGAGCTACGGTGTAGACGTTTGTGGCAGCTCCAGCCTCGCTGGCTGTGATGCCGTTGTGTTTAAGTTGTAACCTGTTGTTTGAGTTATTAAACCAGCATTTAAACCTATACAAAATGTATATATTCTTACGACGGAGACATAACAATAATGATTTTATTTAATAATAATTTCATATAAATTAATACATTTTTCAGTTCGGACTGCGCTTTCATAGCCGTTATAACCTCCTATATTAATCCATAGGTTGAATATTTGCGTGAATTTTTTATTACTTGGTTGCCTAATTAATCACCTCGATCCTTTCTTTGTTTGTGAATTTTTAATAAACTATTATATTTGTTTTATTCATATATTAAATTCTAATCTTTTTGATTCAGCTAATCTGGGGCTAAACCGACCAGGCTCTCCGACTGTTACACGTCGTAGGAACAGTAGCCAATGTAGTGTTTAGCGAGAGATGGGAACTTGTGGCTTATATCTCGTGCATGACTGAGCGACATTTTTTTAATATTATATTATAACCTCTAATTTTCTAGATATACGTCCATATAATCATTGTCACTCTTCTAAAACTACAGACCATCCGGCTGACCGCTGTGGAGACGTGCGCCGGGGCCTCGAATTTGGCGCACGTCTCCACTGCGGAGCAGCGCTTCATTACTTCAACATCCTCGCGGTCGCTCTGCGCATATCCGCGGAAACTGCGCGTCTCATCCGCCGCCGCAGCGCTTAGGATCAACAGCAAAGCTGTGCAGCTGGTGCACGATAATAATATATATTGATAGCGTTTCGTGCGCTTGTGGTGTGTGGCATCGTCAGCGCGTTGTACGCACGTCCTGTGGAGTGTCCACCACTGTGTTATTTAGTGTGTTAAATTGTGTTGTCCTTGTAGAGAGGGAACTGGACTTCACTAATCAGCCACATCATCCAAGACAACGGTGACGTTGCCTTATCACAAGCTGACCATAGGCGTGTCACATGGTGACATGGCCGTCACAGCACGGTGACATGGATGTCTTACAAGATGACATGGCCGATCACGCATGTGACATGGATGTCCCACAAGATGACATTACACGTCTCACAAAGTCACATGGCCGCGTGTCACAAGGGTGTCATAGACATTTCACAAGGTGACATAGACGTCTCACAACGTGACATGGCGTGTCACAAGATGACATAGGCGTATCACAAGGGGACATACACGTCTCACAAGGTGATATGGGCGTGTCACAAGGTGACATAGACGTCTCACAACGTGACAATGGGTCGTGTCACAAGATGACATAGGCGTATTACAAGGGGACATACACGTCTCACAAGGTGATATGGCCGTGTGCACAAGGTGACATACACGCTACACAAGGTGACATGGTCGTGTCACAAGGTTACATAGCTGTAAAGCAAGCAAGCGATGTCTCCTGAGATCACCCTGGCACCTGCTCGATTGATGTCAAGGTAGGTCTCTTGTGATCGTCACATCTTACAAACTTGTCGTTGGACTTATTAAGCTAATTAAAATATCAGCTGGTTGTTATGAAGATTATTTTAATGGAATTAGATTGATAATGGTACAGGATTTTTTAATTTGGTTTTAGCTTGCCTGAATTTGCGATAATCACAAAGTTTTGAAGTATAAATAAGCATCTTGCGTTGATAAAGACTAGTTGTAAGATTAGCTTTTTTAGGGGGGTTTCTTGATTAGTGATATTTCTATCTTGAACGCTCATAGGTATATACAACATAGACGAGTAATTAGTATTCTTTTTTGCATTTATTTGTGTTACGGTGCAGCGCGAAAAGAGAGAGGTGGATGGCCAAAGGGGAAGAAAGCAGCCGGTACAAGAAGGTGAACCACCGAAGCCGCCTAAGACCCCGCTGAGTGAATTCATAGCAGTGACTTCTTAATACAAAAAACAAATAGTGGGACAGTGGGACACACTGTTGCATGCATGTATATAAAGAAAGGTAGTGCTTAAATGATGATGCCTGTGTGATCATTCATGACTAGGACACTGTCCATTTTCCATGTGTTGCATCCGTATTTCTATTTACTTTAATTCAAGGTTTCACTTTCTCTTATGGTAAAAGCATTTACCCTTCATAGTACGTCCTTCCATAGACTTCTTCCTTATAGTATCACAGGCATAGGCATCTTCATAGTGTGACCATCACTCCAAGGTAGTCTCTGGTGTGGCACTACATGCTAACAGCATTTCGGCCGTGATAACACACTGTAATTGTATATCCACTGTAGCACTCTTCTCTCCATGCCATCTGAACTAGTGAAGCAGAATTTGGTAATGATGCCTAACTAACATTGTAGGTACGTGATCTACTTCAAAGAGAGAAGGTGTGAGTTGCAGAAGTCAAATCCTTTATTGAGATTCGCTGTTGTCGCAAGGCTGTGTGGGAAAGAATGGTCATCTATGGACAAGGAGGAGAAAAGGGTATGTCAGGGTTGTTGCGTCCTATGGAATATCGTATTGTTTGGATGTAGTTTTGTCAGCCAGTTAAAAATCAAGAACATGGAAGCAGGCTTGCTAAAAGTGTTGTAGTATCTGGTATACCTGACAGTACATTAACTTTGTACATTTATTGTCTGCTACCACAAACAGACAATTATAGCAGTTCCTCAGGGCGTTTTCGAGTTTAGGACAAGACACAAGCCACTTGCAACTCTGCACATGTGTTTTATGTACACGAATAGAGTTGCATAAACTAAATGGAAAGCAATACCTTCCATTTCTAATGTAATAGACATTATGTGACGTATGACTGCTTGTTCAGAGGTACTTTGTTTGAGGCCGAGGTTGACAAAAAACGGTACGAAGAGGAAGTCAAAGCGTACCAGGAGTCGACGGAAATACAAGCCTTCATGAAGAGAACGCAATTGCAGTCTCTCATTGATTGGGAGGGTGAGGCAGCAGTAAGACAGAGAACACCGTGCCAGCGGCAACAGCTCTGCAGAAGTCGGACAAAACGTGAGTTGTCTTACCTATCCTCTGTAACACTATAAGTGTGAGATGTGAGGGTATGACTTAGCAAATGTATGCTTATTTGTATCCGCTTTCTATCAAATAAGCTATTTTTTAACAGCCATTTTCTCCATATTTTTAGCTCATCTGACATAGTCAGATGCAGCTTGTAGAATCGCCATGATCGTCCGTCGTCGCGTCACGTCGAGCGCCGTCCGTGTCAACAGTTGGGCACAAATCTTAACCGCTCGACGTACGGTCACGATATTCGGGACGTGGGGGGTAATCGAAAACGAGTTGGGATGTCGAAGCTGGGGCGGTCAAAGGGTCAAGTCAAGAGGTGTAAAAGAAAGGGAACATTCACTCCTTAACTTAAGGTATAGGGAGGAAATGCAGAATTGCGGCCAAATCTAACGGCTCGACCTAGGCTCGTGATAGTCGTGTATAGTATCATGGTAGGAAAAGCCATCACCTGTGCCGAAATTGGAGTTCACAGGTCAAAGGTCAATGGTCACAGGGCAGATTTTCGACATTTTCTAAGGACATGGTGTGACGGAGCGATTGAAAAACTTTTTTGTTTTCAGCGGGTGACTAGCATTTTTATGGCATTATTGAAAGGACCATGAAATCTACTTTCTGCTGACATGCGAAGAGTAAGTGTCAGATAACCTTTTGACCCTCAAGGAGGAGGGTTAAACATGGATTTGTTGACTGCTCTGTTTAGAAAGAATTTGACTGCCGGGGTTCGCTAGTAGAATCTATACATGCCTGGATGTATGAGGCTACAATGTCACACTGAAATTTCAAAAGCTAAATTTGGTTAAAAGAAGGTTTATGCTCCTTAAATCGTATAATTTATATGGCATTCTGTACTGTCAGTATGTTACATGTAACGTATGCCATGCCAGTGGCTACTGCCAGTGCATGTGTTATGGTACTGTGTAGTTTTTGCCTGCGTTAATTGGTTACAGGTGGCAGCTGTCTATTGCAGCCTGTAGGGCTTGCGTAGCGTAAATGGATGAAGTGCTTACCTATTCTGTCTTGCAGATAGTTGTTGCTACTACATATGATGGGAGCTTCCATCTTTAATCTGAAGACACTTAAACGTACGCGCCATCTCGTGGCAACTTTCATAACGATCCCAACGAACATTCTTTTGAGAAGGTTCCTGATACCATCCCTGTGCATTCCACTGTTTCGGCGTGTATGTGAACACATTTGGGACTAACAGGGTTTACTAGAATCCCACCACTCCACCACAGAGTCACCGCAGTAGACGTTAGATGAGCGCTGTCGCTCTGCGGCACTTGTTAGATAGTCATCATAGGGTGCAATAACTTGTCTGTGCCCCTCATTTTACTCTACCAAATTACGCTTTGGCTTCAGCTAAATTTATTACAAAAATGTGATTATCAGATCATTATCATTTTTACTACTATTATTATCGTGAACACATAGCATATAATATAAGTATATGCAACTATACTATACATATAAGCAGGAGTGAATAACAATAGATCTAGAATAACAATAGATCTATTATTGTTCACTCCTGATATAATTATATCCCCACCGATAAATTGTTTATGTTTAGTTTATGTTATAGTTTATCTGTTCTAGATAATAGGTAATACTGCATGTGTGTATATGTGTTTATGACGTTACCTTCTTATGGTTATTATTCGTACTAACCACGCAGAGTTTATGTACTACATGAGTGTACATGTGTTAATGATTAATATACATGATAAATGTTAATAATCTCTCGTGATTAACACCCATGCATTTCCTCGGCAGCAGCAGAAGCAGGGGCAGCAGGAGGAGGAGGAGGAAGAGGAGGAGGAGGACCCTCTCTACTGCCCTGTCTGTCACCTGCGCTTCACGAGCGGCCACAACAGGCGCGAGCACGCGCTCGGACGCCAGCACCTCGCCACCATCACGAGCGACTTCGAGGCGGAGAGCCGCGCCGTCGACCGCCGGCGCCCCCTGGCGGATGCCGCCGCCGAGCCACCATCGCCGCCGAGCGCAGAGGAGCACGCGCGGGCGATACGGGAGCTTGCGCGCGGGCAGGCGCTCGAGGCGCGGGAGCTGCGGCTCAACGTGGAGCGGCTGAGGCACGTGAAGACGTGGCGGCTGGAGGAGGCGCGGGCGGCGCGCGAGGACGAGGCGAGGCTGGAGCGTGAGGTCGAGGTCGCGCGAGGTCACGGCGCGACGCTGCGCGCGCAGCTCGACGCGCTGCGCATGGTGCCCACGCTGTTTGGCGTCATCAACTTCTGACACGGTAGTGGTGGATGATGTGGCAGACGAGGCAACGGCAGCGGCGGATGGATCGGGGTTTTCGCTACGGCTGCCGCCACGGGCTCAGGGGCGCCTGTTTTTACTAGTCAGTGGCTGAGGAGTTATCCGCAAGGAGTTATGAGGAAGGAATTATCATGAAGAGGTTATCACCAAGGAGTTATCAGGAAGGAATTATCATTAAGAGGTTATCAACAAGAAGTTTGAATCATGAAGAGGTTATTAGTGAGGATTTGTCAGCATGGAATTGTCACCAAGAAGTTATCAGTAAGGATTTATTAGCAAGGAAATATCACCAAGAAGATATTAGCACTGAATTGTGCCAGAAAATTACTCGCAGGAGGGGAGGTTAAGGATGTGAGGAAGGAAAAGTGGTGGGGGTAGAGGTGGTGATGGAGGAAGTAGAGGTTGATTAGGAAAAGACAAATACAGGGGTTGTGGTGGTGGAAGGGGTAGAGTTGGTGGATTTAGGGCAAGGAAAGGAGAAATATTGAGGTTGTTGATGCTGTGATCCTTTTCTTTCACCACCACTGCCTAAATTAAACATCCTACTATCCTTGTTTATTCATTGCCTTTATGACCATCCCTCCCCTCCTCCAACTCCTCTACCCCTCCTTCCACCACTTCCTTTGCCACGATTTCTCTCTTTGTATTTCCCTGCCCTCATCTACTTCCTTCACTTCCTCTACCCATCCTTCCATTACTTTATTCACCTTACTACAGCTGCCCTTTCTGTAAAGTTCATAATTACATATCTCTTCAGCAGGCGCCAACTGTTGCTCTGTTTGCTGAAAATCCAGCGCTTATATGTAAACAGTGAGTGCCCGTGTGTACGTTTCCACATCTGCTGGTCGCTTTCTATACACATGCGTCCGGCTAAACAGCCCAATAAATGACAAAGTAAATACAGGCGATTATGGATACCTTTATTTATTATGGCCGTATTGGTGGCGTCTGCATATGCTTCGTATTAGGTTAATTGGGATGCATTACTTTCATTGTTGAATGCTGAACTGCCTACGTCACAGCATCACTGTTTCTGCGCAATAGTCTGGTACACCAAGCTGATGTGAAAGACCAAAGGCTAAGCAACCATATGTTCAGCCATATGTTCACGTGCCACTCTTCCCAATTTATCATATATTGATAATATTGTTACTGAAAATATTTGCAGTTGAAAGGTTGTATATATGGAAGCTAGTTACTTGCAATACTCGTGTATGCTTTACGCATTGCAATACTGCAATGAAGCTAACTATACCTAGCTTTTCTATAAACATCGCATTGGTCTAATTATTGTTTGATGTGTACAGTGTACATACTAGCAGCTGCAATATAGACGATAAATTCACAGAGATATGTCTATAATAATAATTGTATTTGTGTTAAAATATTGTGGTGGGGTACATTAGAATCCACAAAATGTTTGGTGCAAGCACAACGGTCTATAAGGTGTGCTATACACTGCACTATCAACACACACACATCACTGCACTATCAACACACACACATATATATATTATATATATATATATATATATATATCATAATATGCATTTTCATTATAACCGAAGTCGCCCTGCACTGTGCAAGCTTGGGACCTAATGTAGTAGATAATATATCCTTTTCACGAAAACTTTTTGCTGGTAATATATTACAGTAATGTCAGTATAGCGATTCTATACCTGATAATTCTCTATAAGTTTTAACGTACGTATATAGCACATAATGTCATTTCCTTGCTGTTATTAGTTATTACTCTTTCATAAACAAAAGGTTATTGTCAAGTAATGCAAAAATCTTTTGCAAAGATTACGATACATACGTTTATTTAGAGGTACTTCATAGTAATTATCCATAATAACTTAACTGCCGTTTAATATGCATTTGCAGCATAAGAGTTACATAAAAGTGGTAAATTGCGTAAACGACGTGAAGTGCGTTAGAAATGTAAAGAAATATGTGGATCCAAGAAGTACGCAAAGTGTGTACGCGTTGCAATCGTTTTGATAAGCAATGTATCTCGAAATTCGATGAAGATCGCGAATCTTTAATCGAAGTTAATAATAAAATTCGTAATATATATTTATGTGAACAACTATCTACACGTCTTGTTCGCACTCCCTCGGCGCAAATAAATGCCTCACTGTCGAATCAGAATCAGGATAGCGGTGGCGCTGATTCCCAGCAGTAGCATGGACACAGGTGTCGCCTCTGGCGCTCCGTTACAGAGGTCCGTTGAGCAGTAGCATCTGCGCGATGAGACCTCGTCCATGCACATATCCTCACGGCTGTCAGTCAGGCAGCCGCGTGTCACTGCTGCTGGACAGATTCGTGGGAGGAAAAGAGAAAGAAGTGAGGAGGGCAGCCGTTAGACGCCCTTCACCAAGAATGTGTATGCATGCGAATTCCTTTGATTTTTTTTCTTTGCCGTAGCACTTGTGATATATAGCACATATTGACATTTTTATCTATGACCTTTGTTGCCGTGAACTCGCTAGCCCATACATGAACGCTAGCGCGCACACGCAGGAACAAAGGCACGAGCGCACATACGGCCACGAACGCAATGCACAAATGCACACAGGCGCGAACACGCGCGCCACAGGCACTTGAAGCGTTTCAATAAAATATAATGCTAACTAAATACGAAATCTATTTACTACCAAATTCTTAATGTTTCTATACTCTTTTTCACCGTCCAAATCCTACGTCCAACCATACGCTGCCGGCGCCATTGCTTTCGCGGCGCGACTGTTGCACGCTTACACTAATATATATAGTACTGCCTGTCAGATCAAAACATGCCGTAGGACTCAATTCGGACATTATGAGTTAGTGGTTTTATCAGAAAGACCATTCAATTCTGGTTATTTTGACACCAAGATCTTCTTCCTAGGTCACATGGTTCGGAAGTTATGAGCATTTGAGTAGTCGGAATCGGGCCGATTTTGGAAAACAAAGTTCAGAGTAATTAGGTCATAAAGTTAAAGTTTGTTTTCATTTGGCCTTCATTTGGACAAAAATGTGAAAAAATATCTTCCCATTGAGCTACACACATGAATTTTTGCATGCACGTACCAGACATAATAACCATCCACTGTATGAAGTACGAAAATGGTAGCTTACAGTTAAGGTAAGTATTTCAGGTAATTAATTAGGGTAATTAAAACATTAATTATCTGGACTTTTTGGACACGCAAATAAACACATAAAAACACACTTTTGGCCAGTTTTATTGATGTAACATCGAACATGGATAACTACTAAAGGTATTTATGACCAAAAAAAAATCGGCTTTTTACTACTTTTAGGTGAAAAAT